ACCTGTAATTTTTTGATCCGTGACCAATAAAATAATCTGTGACCTGCAAAATTTTTGATCTGTGACCGATAAACAAATTGTGACCTTTAAATTTTTTGACCTGTGTTGTGATCATTTGAAAATAAGTCGTGACTATGAACAAAATTCTGATTTGTGACTTGAACCGTGACTTGTGATCTGGACTGTGACTTGTGACTTGAGTCGGAACAGTCGTCGGAACGACCACCGAAATCGGAGTAGTCGCCGAAATCGGCACCGGAGCGGTCGTTGGACTGATGGGGGGTGGTGGGGATGGTGGAGGTGGGGGTGGGTTAATTTTGTGTGTGTGTATATATATTTATTTATTTATTTATATCTTTTTATATATTTAAATATATAAATAAATATTTATAAATATGTGTATGTATAGGTCAAAAAATTTGATTTTTGAAATGTGAAAGTTGTTTTGTTATTTTTGAAATAGGATAAAGATGAAGTAGGATAAATGAATTCTTCCCTTTAAATAATGGCTACCAAAACTCAGATAATATGACTAAGATGACACAATGCCTAAAAGAAGACTTTCACTAGGCCTATTCTTGAAAACAAACTGATTTATTGCTTGAACATTAAGCCCATGTTTGAAGACCATTATTTTCAAACTCTTATTTTTTAAGTGTTCATCTTTTATTATATATTCTCATAATAAAATATTCTGTACAAAAATTTAAAAAAATTTCCTTTTTTTTAACCACATATTCTCCTAAAAACCACTATTCAAACCTTTGTTTTCACCAAATAATGACAATAACAAGGGTTTAAATAAAAATTGAGAAAATTAGAGGAAATCATATTTTTAAGTTTTCATTATTAAAAAAAGGTGTTATTTTTCTTATTCACAAATTAGGTATTTTATTTTAATAAATATTTTTTTAGTAAATGTTTCTATTTTGTCTCCAATTCCATTGATTATGGTAATGTGTATTTGGTTTTTATTTGTTGAAATTCAAAAACAAAAAATGGAATTCTTACCGATTCTATATTATTTAGAGAGGAAAATATTTATTTTTTTCTTCTTCATTGCCATTGTGAGAAAGAATTATTATGAGATAGGAAGAACACCACAATCTAAGTCTAATGCATAAGCTACATATGTCACAATCGTTGTATTTCTTTTTTAATTCACAC